ATTAATCTTTTGGGGTCTCCATGGACACGTGGGCCCTTTCGCCACCCGTCCTCAGGGGCAGTGAGTTTCTGGGTTGCCCCGAGGGAACTGGCTGCTTGTGGGACAGGAGCCCATCAGTACATTCTGAGAAATACTATTTAGTCTCAGATTCCTAAAAGTTTGAGGCTGGCAGAGGCTTTTAATATGGCCAGTTTCCCCCAGCGGGTCACCTGCCCCTCGCCATTTCCCGAGGGACACACAGTGTGCCCACAGGGACGTGGACCATGTCCTTCCCTCAGGGCATGGCTCTCCATGCCCGAGGCATGGTGTCCCTGCACGGCTCAGGCGGCCATGTCTTGACCCTGCTTTCCCTGCCACATTCTACCCACCTTTCTGCTCTCCTTCCTGTGGACTCACTCCGCCTCCAGGCATCCGGGCCTTTCATTCCAACCTGGCTCTTCCAGGATGGGCGGGGCCCGCTGACGCACGCACAGAGGGGCGGGGCTTCGTGAGGACGCCCAACCGCTACTCACACAAGGTTTCCCTGCAGGGCCCACTGTGGACAAGAGCCAATCCAGTGCCAGGAGCCACCTCCTCGCCCCCTGCGCCCCGCCCCCCCAGGTCTGTGTGCGCAGGTGCAACCTGAGGGGCGGGGCTTCTTGGGAAGGCCCATTGTTTTAGCGTGAAAGGGGACTTCCGGTGTGTGGCGGGCAGCGCAGCCATGCAGGCTCCTGAGGAGGAGGACGACGGCAGAGGCAGCATGGAAGGTGGTGCTGGGTCACCCAATGTCCCAGGGAGCGCCGTGGGCCTGGAGACCAGGACAGCACCAAAGAGGAAAGCCCTGCCGCAGAGGGAGCCCCCCAGGTCGAAGGGGCCTCGCAGGTCGAGGGGACCTCGCAGGTCGGGGGGCCCCCCCTGGTCGAGGCGGCCTCGCAGGTCGAGGCGGCCTCACAGGAGTCGGGGCAGGCTGCAGTGGCCTCTACCTCCCACAGAGGTCCTGGACGCCGACTGTCGGAGTTGTATCTTTTTCCAAGGCGCCCCCCTCCCCCCTCCCCGTGGGAAGGGAAGGGTGAGGGGGATGGGGGGGGAAGGTGGGGGGGGCTCAGGAAGAACGGGCAGGGATAGGGTTTCGGGGGGCTGCGGGTGGGGAGGCCCTGAGGGGGTTCATGGGGACCGAGGGTGGCTTGGGGAAGCAGCTGTGGGTGGCCTGGAAGACCTGGGGGTGTGGCCCGGAGACACGGCAAGTGGCTCACGAAGGGGGCTGCGGTCCAGAGTCCTTTGAAGGGTCATCCTTGGAGGGGTCTTGGGGGGGCCCTGGAGGGGGGGCCTTGGGGCAGGACCGGCCTCTGGTGGGCCAGGGCGCCTGACCCACAAAGTCCGTGTGGATGGAGCCTTTACCTTAACTCCACCAGCGCCTCACGGTGCCTTTCCTGACCAACCTGGACGCAGAGGTGGTCCAAGGATACCTAATGGCAGGGGCCGAAACGCACCAAGGGATGGTTCAGTGGGACCTAAGGGTTACTGGCTGTGACCTGTTCATGTAAGTTCCAGAAGGGATGGGGTGGGAGTAGCAGCAGGAGGCGGGCGGGCGGGCGGGCGGGTCTCGGGCCCAGGGGCGCTCTGTTGGCGATGTGGGGACCCCAAGGATGGAGGTCTGAGGATGGCCGCGGGGCGCCGGGTCACTAGAGGGCCTGCCGCAGCCTGAGGACCTCTCTAATGGAGGAGTAGGTCTGATTGTCACCTGGGGGAGGGGTTGGAGTGAGGAAGGCGCCGAGTTCTCGCCTCTAAAATGCTTTTCTTCTCCCTTCACTCTTAGCCGCTTAACTGCTGAAGATACTGACCTCCTGCAAATTTCTACTGCTTCCTTGCTTCACCGGCTTGCCATCGCGGTGCAGACCATGCAGCACTTTGTGCCTCCCTTTTGCGCTAGACCTCAGTCCGAAAACGGGAATTGAGGCCCCAGGAGTGTCCCGTCCTAGGAAGTACATCCTTCCCTGGGGCCATGGTTTTTGCAGTAGCTGCCCTTTTATTTGGGGGTGCCGGGTTTGTTGTTTACCTACACTAGCCCTTGGGAACTCTCTGCCCTCTTGTTTGAGTAATGCTTAAATATTGCCTAAATCAGTAATAAAAGTGAGTTACTATTTTGTATCTGAGTTTCTTTTCAGCGTCCAGCCTTTCTTGCCTTTGTCCTTGGGTTGGAGGGGAGGTTCTGGGGTTCAGATAGTCAAGTAGTACAGGCAATGGAAGACGGTTTAATGAATGAAAAGTACTTGGATCTTCTCATTCAACAGTTTGGAACACTTTTATAGTTTTAGAATTGTTGGTCTACATTAAATGTATAACAGTTGTTATGCACAAGTAAGATTTTTCCGTTAGCATTGATTTTTTTTTTTCCCCTGAAATTTTCTCATCTAATATCTGGGCCTTAGGTCTTATTGAATGGATGCATAGAAGATGCATCATAATGTCATTATTCAACACGTGAATTATTTTCATTTTCCCTATTACACATAGTGTATTAATGGGCTTATTGTATATAATCTCTGCATGAATGGTGGTTTTCTTAAGATAGATTCCAACAGGTAGATGTACAAAGCAAACTTGATTTCCAGAAAATGTGCCCACCCACGCCAGAATGCTGTCCCCACATCCCTGTCACTGCTGGAATTGTTTCCTGCCACCAAACACACACACACACACACACACACACACACACACACACACACACACACTCAGTTTGCATGAGCAGAGCAAAGAATCCAGAAACACTAGAATAAGAATTGTGTGCTTGCCCTGGCTGGTTTGGCTCAGTGGATAGAGCGTCGGCCTGCAGAACAAAGGGCCCCAGGTTCAATTCTGATCAAGGGCACATGTCTGGGGTGTGGGCTCAGTCCAACGTGCAGGAGGCAGCCGAGCAATGATTCCCTCATCTTTGATGTTCCTATCTCTCCCTTCCTCTCTGAAATCAATAAAAATATATTTTTTTAAAAGAATTGTGTGCTTTACTGTCCTTGTTCCAGGTCAGAGAAGAAAAGTGCTGGGGCAACTGGTTAAGACTTGGGGAAAATATAACTAAAAACAAAATGCTCTGTATGCCAGCACTGTGCTATGTACTTACCGACATTGTTATATATAATGCTCACAACAACCCAGTGAGCTAGATACTATTATACCTTTTGAGGCACAGAGAAGCTAAGTAACTTTCTCAAGGTCACCCAGCTAAGAAGAGTCAGAGGCTGGATTTGAATTTTTATTTGATTCAAGCACCCACCCTCTTAGCCACGGTGTCATACCTACCTGAGCACCGCCACCTGGAGCCACCAGGACGCTGGGGTAGCGCTTTCCCTCCCGGTGGCTCTGGGGGACGGCCATGTGACTAATGCCAAGTGCAGGAATGGACAGATGCAGGGCAAGCAGAAGAGAAAAGAAGGTTGGTAAGAACCCCCGCCCCCTTTCAGGTGGCTTTCCTATTCTCCCAGGTCCTTTAATATCTTGAAACACTTGACCCTCTTTGAACTGGGGGTACAATGCTGATACCTGTTTCCCTGCCCCCCGCCCTCTCCTCAACTATGAAGAGTGCTCTTTTCGGGTACTTGTAGTAGCTGAGAAATAAAAAATAGAACTAAATCTTCTGCCAACCCAGGAAACGTCTCCAGAAAGGCAGCAGAAAAGCCGTTTTGTTGTTGCGTAACCATTGCACCAGGACCTGGTGGACATCCCAGACAATGTGCTAAGAGATTCCAAGGACAGAAAGAAATGTAACCCTTTTGTCTAGCAAGCCGATATTCTCCGAGGTGCCGGGCCATCGGCCCCTCCCCCGCAACCCCACTCCCACCCCCGCCGCCGCCTGTCGGGGGACCTCCGCACTCCGCAGCCCCGCCAGCCCCCGCCGCCCTGCGCCCTGGCGCCCTGTAGACCCCGCCACATACAGGTTCTCAAGATGTGCAGATCTCGTCCTGAAATAAGAGAACCTGACACCACCAGGGCTCACATGTCGTTCATCCTAAACTTACCTGATAACTGGGGTCACCGTGTGTATCAGATCACTGGGTTTTTCTGTGTTGTTTTGTATTTTAAAAATGGTTTTACTGAATTCATGGATGAAGAAAGAGGCAGGGAGAGAGAGAGAGAGAGAGAGAGAGAGAGAGAGAGAGAGAGACTTCAATGATAAGAGAGAATCATTGATCCGCTGCCTCCTGTCCGCCCCACACTGGAGATCGATCCCGCAGCCCGGGCACATGCCCTGACCAGGAATCCAACCGTGACCTGTTCATAGCTCGGCGCTCAACTGAGTCTCATGGGCGAGGCAGGTCACTGGTGTTTTGGACCGAATGTTTGTGTTCCCCCCATTGCCTCAAAGTCACATATTGAAGCCCTAAACCCCGTGTGGCTGTATTGGGAGATGTGGCCTTTTAGGAAGTAACTAAGGTTAAATGAGGTCCTACAGGATTCGCCTCCTTATAAGAAGACAGCAGAGCTCGCCTGCACTACCTCCCCCGATTCTGACTCTTCCCCCCTTCCCCTCCCCCTCTTCCTTCTCTCTCTCTCTCTCTCTCTCTCTCTCTCTCTCTCTCTCTCTCTCTCCATCCCCGTGCACGGAGGAAAGGCCATGTGAGGACATAGGAGAAGGTGGCCACCCGCAAGCCAGGACGAGTCCTCCCAGAAGCTGAATTTCCTGGCACCTTGATTGTGGGCTTCTAGCCTGCAGATCCCAAAGGAAGTAAATGTCTGTCGTTTAAGCCACCCCCGCGTTGGTATTTTGCTAGAGCAGCTCGCTGGCTAATGCAATTGACATGGTCCAAGCGGGAAATGAACACCTTGTATCTGTTTGACAGGAGCGAGTTTTGCAACTTGGAGCCAGGTGTCCACTGAAGTTTGGCTTCTACCCTCCCACAGAAACCCCAGGACGGGGCGCCAGCTTGCCTGATGTCTCCATTGCGAAGAGCTGTTTCCCAGGCCCTGGAAAAAGATCTTCCCGGGTCATAAAGCTGGCGAGAGGCCTTCAGCAATAGCGACCTGCCTCCTGCACTGGACCGCGGGTGCGGGCTGCCTGCGCCCTGGGCTGGATGGTGCGGGGAGAGCAGCTGCTGAGGGCATTCCCCCTGTTTGGAGGGCCCACCCCTGTCTCATCCACACCCTGAGCGTCCTCGCCTGTCTCACCACCTTCTGATGCCCTGGCCCCTGGGGTCTGGCTTATTAAGTGTGTGGCTCAGAGCTAGTTTGTGCGAGGCCTCACCTGGAAGAATGCGAGTGGGTGCTGCCTCAGGCAGTGCACGGGTTGGGTGTGGAGCCACAACTGTGGTCTCCTGACTCTGGTCCCCAGCTTTGACAGCTCTGGGTCCTTTTCTGTGCCCGCGTTTGACGTGAGGACAGGCTGCCTGTGCCGTGGAATGCAGGCAAAGGACACGTGGGAAGGCTTTCCTCATATTCAGAGGACCCGCCCTTGTCCCTTCCTGTGGGACAGCCTTAGGGGCTGCCGGGGCCTGAGCATGAGCCTCACGGGGGGCACGTGTCAGTGCATTTACACCCTAAGACTTGGACTCCCCAAGTGGCTTTCTGTTGCTGAGCACGCTGGTTTTCTGCACATGTAGGTCGGGCCGATTGTCCAGTCACAGGCTGCTGCTTGTCTCCTGCAGGAAACGAAATTTACACGCCTTCCAAGAGGCAGAGAGAGAAGTTACAAGCTTTCTGAAAGAAATGCTTTCCGAAAGGGGGCGGGGGGGTGCCTCCAATTTCAACAGGGAGGTCACACTCATTCTTTCCGTTTTGGGGGTGAGGCTTTTCGTTTGGCTCTCTAAGGTCCCTCAGCAAGTTTCCTAAATAAAAACTGGAATCCAAATGCCTCCTCTGGCATCGCCCTCTGCCCCAGGGCCTCCCTGCCCACCCAGCCCAAGTTCGGGTGCTGGAAGCAGCCTGACAGGTAGGACAGTGGCTCTGAGCGTGGGTTCTGTAGCCAGACTGCAAGGACTCCGTCCAAGGCCCTCTCCTGGAGAGCTCGGTGACCTTTGACCAATAGCCACCAGCTCTGGACCGAGGCTTCTGGGTCTGGCGACTGGAGATGGTAGAATACCTGCCTGGCAGGGTTGTCTTGAGAAGTAATTCAAGTGAATATGGTTAAAGTGCTTGGAATAAGGACCCACACAAAGTCAGTGTCGTGTGAAGGTTAGCAACCATATTTCATTGTTTTGCTGTTGTAGCCATCACTATTTGTTCCAGTTACTGTGGCTGAATAAGAAATCACCCCAAAGGTAAGTGATTTAAGACAACGACAGGTTGTGCACACAGATCAGAGCCTGTGGGTCAGGACATGGGCTAGAGGGGAGTGGCGATGTGTTTGTTGTCTCTGATCCACCGTGTCTGTGTCTGGAGCCTCTGCTGGGACTCAGGCAGGTGTGAGCTGAATCCTCTGAGGGCTCCCTCCCTCCCGTGTCCTGTGGTCCTGGGACAACTGGGAGGCTGGGGCTCTGTGGACAACAGCGCCTCCCCACGGCGTCTCCATGCAGCTTGGCTTCTTCACGGCATGGCAGCCTCAGGTGGCCCATCTTCTCTCAGGCAACTCAGGGTTCTCAGAGCACGTAGTCCAGGGAACAGTCCAGAAGCGGTACCACCTTCCACGACTCAGGTAAGTCTGTGGCCTGGGCAGTGTGTGGAGATGCCACGGTCCAGGCAGGAGTTTGAAGGGGCACCATCTCTTCCTCCACTTGGCTCACAAGCCTGAGGAGTGTGCCATGAAGTCACAACCCATGCATGTGCAGCCACCTAGTGACAAGGGCCTCCAACTGCAGATTTTTTTCCTCTTAGAAGTCACAGGAGCCTCTTCAGTTCCACCCAACAAGTCATTCTTACACCAGCAGAAGGTGGGAATGCCATCCCTTCTTGATGACACTCTCCAAGCAACACACTCAGAAAATGCGAGGTGCTGTGTGTGATTAGCAGTTCCTTATTGGGTCCAGGTGGGGAAAGCCGAGAGACTCCATTCACATTGCAGGAGAGGGAAGCAGACAACCCAGCTGTCACCGTCACCAGTGGGCAACTGGGACCCAGTGCTCTGAAGGCCAGCTCTGGGATTTGGGTAGAGGCTCCGTGAAACCATTTTTAAAGGTGACACCCGGGTAGACTGTCACTCTGATGGTCTCCAGACCCGGAAGGAACCTTCTGGCCACCCCCCCCCCAACCTTGCTGATGGGGTCCCTTAGTGCATGTAGCTAAAGGGTTGAGATGCCAAGGAAACCCAACTGGAAACGTATCCTGAAAGTTATGAAAGTACAGTGGTAGTTGCATTCCCAACTCACCCTGTCTCTGTCGTGAATACAAGAGCACCAATTCCCCCCCAGTTCTCATGGGGAGACCTGAGATTGTTGCGAAGACTTGGAGAACCACCGATCCCTCCAAAATGTCACCCAGCTGAGAGTTCTGTATGTCTTGCTACCAGCATTCTCAGGAAACCAGTTTTTTCTGCTTGGATCTCTTCTCTTTTCTTTTCTCTCTCTCTCTTTTCTTTTCTCTCTCTCTCTCTCTCTCTCTCTCTCTCTCTCTCTCTCTCCTCACCCCATTCCCCACATCACCTACTATATCTTTCCCATCACTCCCTCAGAGGTCATCCTGGAATCACCCAACCTAAATTAGCTGGAAGAACAAATATGCAAGAATTTGGTGCTGGGGATTTATAATTTGGTGAAGATGACATTTCAGCTCAGTGGGGAAATGTGGTTTATTCAATAAATGGTGTTGGGACCCCTGACTCAAACTTTGGAGAGAAAACAAAGTTAGATCCCAATGTCCTTTATCACTGACATTAGTTTCCCGCAGATTAAAATGTTAAAGTACTAAAGGATCTTGTGAGTGGAGAGTTTTATAATTTTATCATCACTTTTTTGTAAGAGAAAACATCCAGGGAACATCGTGAAAAAATTGATCACGTTGAATACATTTACATTTTTTATTTATGCATGGAAAAGAACGGTGAACAAAGTTAAAATGCAGCAATGAGTAGGGAAAGTACTTTCCAATTAGGATAAAGATTTGATATTCTGAACATGTACAGAGCATTTCCCAATCAATATGAAAACCATGACTGTCCCAAACAGACAGTTCTCGGACAGCGAGATGCCACTGGACATATGTCACACACATTAATATTCAATTACATTAAAATCAACAGGAAAGTGCAACTGAGGTATGATTTTGGTCACTGTGTAAAAGATTGGACATATTCTTTGTGAGGTGGGATATAGGAAAATGGTAACTTTCATACATAATTGGTTAGAGTTCAAATTGGTGCAAACTTTGGGAGGCAATTTGGTGATATGTATCAAATACTTTTAAAAAAGCTTATTCATCAACCTAACAATTCCCCTTCTAAATGTCTATTGCACAACAAAAAAATATGGCTATCTGGTTTTTTTAAAAATATATTTTTTATTGATTTTTTACAGAGAGAAAGGGAGAGAGATAGAGAGTTAGAAACATCGATGAGAGAGAAACATCGATCAGCTGCCTCCTGCACATCTCCTACTGGGGATGTGCCCGAAACCACGGTACATGCCCTTGACCGGAATTGAACCTGGGACCTTTCAGTCCGCAGGCCGACGCTCTGTCCACTGAGCCAAACCGGTTTCGGCTGGCTATCTGGTTTTGAAATAGGATAATGCTAGCCTCATTAAAATGAGCTTGAGAGTTTTCCCTCCTCTTGAATTTTTGGAATAGTTTGAGAAGGATAGATGTTAGTTCTTCTTTGAATATTTTATAAAATTCACCTGTGAAGCCATTCGACTTTTATTTATTGAGAGGGTTTTTTTTGTTTGTTTGTTTGTTTTCATTTCTGCTTCACTTTCACTAGTTGTGATCTGTCTATTCAGATTCTCTGATTCTTCCTGATTCAGTTTTGGAACATTGTATGATTCTAGGAATTTATTCATTTCGTCCAGATTGTCCAATTTGTTGGTATATAATTGCTTGTAATGTTTTCTTACAGTCCTTTGTGTTTCTTTGGTGTCAGTTGCTACTTCTCTTTCATTTCTGATTTTTTAATACAATTTTTAAATTTATTTTTTTATTTTCTATGCAATTATTTTATTAATTCTTTTTTCTTTAATGATTAAGGTATTACATATGTGTCCTTATCGCCCCATTGCTCCTCCAACCCCCCCGACTCATGCCCTCATCCCCCTGGTGTCTGGATTTCTGATTTTATTTATTGGGGTCCTCTTTATCTTTTTCTTGATGAGGCTGGTTAAAGGTGTGTCAATCTTGTTTATCTTTTCAAAGAACTAGCTCTTGGTTTCATTGATCTTTTGTATTGTTTTTTATTTTTCTCCTTCATTTATTTCTGCTCTGATCTTTATTACTTCCTTTCTTCTACTCATTTTAGGTTTTGTTTATTGTTTTCTTCCAAGTTCCTTTAAGTATAAAGGTAGATTGTTTACTGGTATTTGAGATTTTTTTTTGTTTCCTGAGGTTGGCCTGTAATGCTATGAAGTTCCCTCTTAGGACTGCTTTTCCTGTGTTCCATAGATTTTAGGTTGTTGTGTTTTCATTTTCATTTGTTTCATGTTATCTTTTACTAGGGGCCCGCTGCACGAAATTCAAGCACTGGAGGGGGGGTCCCTCAGCCCAGCCTGCCCCCTCTCATGTACTGGGAGCCCTCAGGGATGTCCTACTGATGGCTTAGGCCTGCTCCCTGCTCCCCTTGGGGAGTGGGCCTAAGCTGCAGTCTGGCCTCCCTTTGTGGGAGGCTACTGGGCTGATCAGGGGAAGGCACCAACCCCATCACCCCACTGCTGCAGCCACTTCCAGTCACTGCAGCCACCTAGGTGTTTTCATCAACACAGACTCCAGTCCCTTCACCATGAAAAAATGACAACTTTCTTTAGGCATTTTCAAGATGTGACTTTCATAGGATATCACATTTCTTTCTTTCTTTTATTTTTTTTATCCTCACCTGAGGATATGTTTCCATTGATTTGTAGAGAATGTGGAAGAGAAAGGGAAAGACAGAGAGAAACATCAAAGTGAGAGGAACATTTTGATTGGTTGCCTCCTGCATGAGCCCTGACCTGGGCCCCAGCCAGGGAGGAGCCTGCAACCTAGGTACATGCCCTTGGTCAGAATTGAACCCAGACCCTGTGGTAGGCAGGCCAAGGCATTATCCACTG